GGGAACCATCTTGGTTTGGGTTCTCACTAGCCTTCCTATTCAACTACCATCAAGGAAACATACACTGGGAGTTACATGCTTGGACAGTCTATGAGACAGGAACCTAGGGGTCTCACTAGATTATTCTCTATCTTGTAGGAACCCCTACACGAATATTGACAGGTCGGGCATGGAACAGGATTGTACAAATGGTAATCAGAGTATCTCACACTCTCACTGCAACACGCAAGGGCTCTTCTGTGTTATACGGGTCCTAAACTCTATTGGATCCAGCCATCTTAGCACTCTTAGAGGATGATGTATTTGGATAGAAATCTCAACTCCAGTTTCCAGTCCCATCCCTTTGAGCTTTCCAGGATCCACAATTCTCAGAATAGTTGACCACCGTTTACCACACGAGTTCAGTTTGAGACCTTGATTGGACACCCTTTGGATGTCTTTTCTAGACCGCAGCCGTGGATTACGCAGTCCAGTTGGTAGACTGGAGTCTCTTAGGATACGGCTAGTATGGTCCACACTATTATCTGTATATAACTTGATTTCAGAGGAGACCATTCACCAGGTAGGTCATAAAGGAACGAATAGACACTATTCGGCTCTATTCGAGTATTGACGGTGGACTTAGGCGCAGGCCTGAGGTTGGAGTTTGTCTGCAAGGCCACATCGCCTGGTGAACCTGACACGATCGGAGGAATCACCTCCCACATCAAGAGTCGAGACACGGTGGAAGTCTCTTCTCGCGACCCCTCGGCACTTTACACCTACAGGACTATGGCTAATAGGTCAACTTGACAGCCCATGGACCGACTGCTAGGGAACAGGTTGTAACCCCACGTACAATGGATCTATCAATGGAGGTCACTTCTCGCAGTTGGAAGGTCCATTTAGGATTGCTCTAATATTCTCGGAATGGGTACCAGCGAAACAAGCAGCGTTGGATTTGTTGGCTGAGCGTTAAAACAGCAAATACGAAGCCTCCTGTCATGTTATAAAATTGTAGATTATGCTAGCTTTAGTGTACCTATAATCTTAATTTTATTAATGACAGGAGGCGAGTATTTCCCACCCATTCTTATCCCTCCCTTGTTTAATTTTATAGTTTGGATTTATCAGGTACGTATACAACTCTGCTTGTTGTTTCTGCTACCTGTCACCTGTCCTTATGTCTGTTTTTCATAAGTAAGGTTGGGATATCTACATATTTTGTTTGCTACATTGGTTATCTACAAGTTTATTCAAAATACATTTCATTGGATAATCAAGCTGTTCGATTCTGTTTTTTCTCTCGTTTCAGTTTCCAGTCCTTCACCACTATCTGGCGTGGCACTTCTTCGTGGAGGGTGGGCATTGACTTATTTTCAGTCCTTCAACGCTATCCGGTTGACAGTTCTTCTCAGACGTTGGACATTGCTGTATTCATCGTATCTGGACTTCGTTGCTTCCCATTATTTTTCTGCCTTTGTTCTGTTTTGTCGCAGCTTGAAAGAGGAAATGATGCAATGGGAAGGGGGTTTTATAGTACCTAACTTTTTTCTGATTGGTTGTTTTTCTGTGCTGCTGTGGAGTTCTAGTAAAGAGAGACTAAAGCAAATACTCGCCACCTGTCATTAATAAAATTAAGATTATAGGTACACTAAAGCTAGCATAATCTACAATTATAAAACTTAGTCATAAGAAAAACCTAACATAACAGCATTGCACATGCATGAACTGGCAATAAGAGTCTCAAAAATCCAATCAAAATAACAATATAAATAAAATTATATAAAACTGCATATCAAATGGTAAACTAAATAACAAAAAAATGACAAACACTTTCAGATAGGAGGTTCCACATAGCATGACTCCATATAAGTGCTGCATCATGTAAATGAAGCTAAAGAACAGGTTTTAGCTTATCAAAAATGCACACAAGAAAAGTACACAGTGCAAAAAAAGATAGAGTAGAAGCACTCAACTTTAAACAGTTTTTGTGTATCTTGGATTGGCTCATCTTATCCCTCGTAGGAAAAAAGTATCTTCTTTTTCCTCTGTTTATGCACAGAATATGGGATTACATGATTAATATCCATTTGCATTGCCATCTTTCGTGTTTCTGTGAGTAACTCCTCAAGTCCATTGTCAGACCGATAAGTTATCAAGTAGGCCTTACTGGCTTCTAAAAGCTCCACCAAATCCAGCAAGTAAATTGTTTGACTCTGAAGAAGCTTGCTTACTTGATTAATGTGACTTAATGTATTAAACCACATTACTGTCAAACACAAAAACGTAAAGCTGTTTTGCCAATAATGCGGCCAATAATGCGGCCTCATTTCTTGCAAGAGAAGCAAATGTTGCATATTCTTCGATTTCCATCAGCGCGTCATATATTTCAGCCAGTGCAGGAGCATCCGTTTCCTGTACCTGGTGAGCACTTCCTGTCAGTCTGGCCTTGGTACAGGAAACAGAAACCCCTTCCCACCATACAGCCCCCTACCCACCTCACAGCCGCCCTTCCCACTCACAGCCCCCCTACCTACCATACAGCCCCCCTACCCACTCACAGCCTCCATATCAACCTCACAGCCCACCACCTACTCACAGTCCCCCTACCTACTCCCAGCCAATGCTGTGGACAGAATATTAACTTTAGTAAAATGCCTATTTACTCTGTGCATCTGTGTTCATTAACTGCTCAAAACTAGCTGCTAGAACAACCCCTCCCCGCCTGTGTTCAAACCGGATGCAGGGAGTTACCCCTCCCATCAACTAACCACCCAATTTACAAGATGGCGCTGGAATGTGGGGGAGAATTGCATGATGACAGTGACATCACACCCTGTAGGCTGTGCAAATAGATGAACCACTTAACACCTAATCAATTGTTGATGTATTTTCTCTGTTATCTATAATCATGCATATGATGTATTTCTGCTTCATAAGGGGCATACCGGCCCCCTGGATTAAAGATTTCCTCAAGTTTTTCATTAACCTGGAACTTGTGTCTGGTGTGAATTACTTCAGGGAGCGTGCACGCAATTATCTTATAATTTGGACAGGGGCAGATATACAAAATTATCAAACACTTGGTTTGGTCTTCAACACCCCCTAACCATCTTACAGCCACCCTACCCACCTCACAGTCTCCCTACCCATCTCACAGCCCCCCTACCCATCTCACAGCCCCCCTACCTACTCACAGTCCCCATAAGCACCTTACAGCCCCCCTAACCACTCACAGTCCCCCTACCCACTAACAGTCCCCCTACCCACCTTCTTACAGCCAGCCTACCCACCTTACAGCCCCCCCTACTTACCTCACAGCCCCCCTATCCACCTTCCAACCCCCTACCCACCTTCCAGTCCCCCTACCCACTTTTCAAAATTATACAAAATTATCAAACAAACACCCCCTAACCATCTTACAGCCACCCTACCCACCTTACAGTCTCCCTACCCATCTCACAGCCCCCCTACCCACTCACAGCCTCCCTGTCCACCATATTAGGAAAATATATATATATATATATATATATATATATATATATATAATCTCAATAATATGTAAGGCATAAATATATATGTATGCATGTCTTGCCACCCCAGATGATTGAGTAATATATGCACACATAATATGTATTATGAGTTATACACATATATGTGTGTTTATATATAACTCAATCATTTAGGGTGGAGCCAGACTGCAGCCAGAGCCCATCATCATCCTCATCTGCTTGAAAGTAGGCAATCTAGTATATTATTTGTGGCACTAATCTCTAATTTACCTCACATTAGAGGGACACTATAGTCCCCAGAACCACTGCAGCTTAATGTAGTGTGGTTCTGGTGTCTATAGCCTGTTCCTGCAGGCTTTTTAATGTAAACACATACTGTGTGCAGCACTGGCGTTAGTTCATGTGGTAGATCATATGGGTGGGGCATTGTGATGTCACGTGGGGGGGGGAGAGGCAAATTTTTATTTTGCCTAGGGCGGCAATAATCCTTGCACTGGCACTGAACACATAGCAGCATCGTTGACAACAAGGTTTAAAGAATGAGCACTGCAAGGAACATAGAATGCCTTTGAATTCAAATTGTTAATTCTTTTCTGAACATCAGCCTTTCATATTAGACCTGTTGTCATACCCTTGACCTCTCATATGCCTTAATGGTATGTTCAGTGTCTCAAGCTCTGCCAGAATAGAGTCAGTCAACCCTTCACTAGTTGAACTATAAACTGGAATGAATCCAAGAAACCTTTCTTCAATTTTCATTTCAAGGTTTGCTGTTGGCGAGTCCCCTTGTGTGATTGACACAAACCTAACAATGAAGGTAATCTCTTCCACAAGAGAAACATCTGGGGTGCAGTCAAGAAGGATGGAATAGTATTTCACTTTTTTTATTTGTAGCAAAATTCGTCTTGTAATTTCTTTGGAAATAAGGCCAATCAATTAATTTTGGATATTCTTTCCCAGATAATGGTAATGAATTTCTGAATTGATTTTTTTATGGTGGTTTTGCATCACGGTATCAAAAATGTAGCAAGCATTTCCACGAGTTGCAAATAATTACCATTATTTTCACTATATATAGTATTATAGCTTCCTCTGAAAGCCAGGCATTGCTTACCAAGATATTGGACAATAGCTACAAGGTGTTGAAGAACACTTTGCCAGTGCTTTGTTTCTGCTGTTAGTAATCTCTGGTAAACCCGGTCAATAGTTCTTCCTGATCCAAGTCTTATTAATAATTCATTCCACCTTCCCACCGAAGCAAGATGATTTGCAGACTGTTCATGTCCTGTCAAAATATAAGAGATACTTTTCCAGTCACCAACACCTCCAGCAGTTAGACTTATTTCTTTGTTTGCAAACAGTTTGCAACAAAAACAAAGCACATTGTTTAGCTTGGTAGAATAAATTAGCCAATGTCTGTTCTGCAGTTCTCTATTTCCCAGGTGGAGTTTGTAATAGACTGCTGTAAAACGTCTCTTAGATGCATCTATGGGAAACACAAAGTGCTCATTTGGCTTTGCAGGCCCCTTCATTACGATGGTATCCCAAAATGAGGTAGAGATGACATCTGGCCAGTCTGCTGGATCTAAGAAATCCAGTGGTAATGCAGTGATCTTTTTCTTGTAGTTCAGGTGATTTTGGAGAGTTCACTTCTTCAATATCTGTGTCACTTTTTTCTTCAACAGATTGCTCACAAACAGTGGTTGATGTTGAAGCATCCACTGTCATGGTTGTTGAAGGTCCTTCATCGCTATCCATCTGCACAGGATTCTCTTCAACTTCACAATCTGGTTCGTCATTAGATTGTGTGGCTTTCTGCTTCTGGTCAACATTGAAGAATTTGTTTAATGAATGAGCTGTTTTTTGTTCCTCTTCTTCTCTAAGTGTCCGTTTCCTTTTGAAACCTGTACCAGACAGCTTCTTATGAGGTGGTCCAGACATAGCTCAATGTGGGTGCTTTAAAAATTAGTCCGCAGTCACTTTAAGAATTCGGCTGTGGACTTTGTAGGATGCAGATGCGGCCGTAAGAGTGTGAGAGAGCACTCTTGCGGCAAAAGTGATGTTGCCTTGCCACCGCCTTATATGACAGTCATATCTGAAACCTATACCCCTTCTGCACGCAGTCAGTGGCTGGTGGAAGACCTGGGTGTCCATATGTGTGGTGGGGTAAGCCCTAGTTGTCCATATGTGTGCTGGGGTATCTCCTGGGTGTCTTTATGCATTCTGGGGTATGTCCTGGGTGTCCATATGCGTGCTGGGGTATGTCCTGGGTGTCCATATGCCATGCTTGGGTATGTCCTGGGTTTCCATATTTGTGCTGGGGTATGTCCTGGGTATCCATATGCATGCTGTGGTAAGTCAATATATCCACCCACTATGTAAACAAGGTTATATCACTAACACTACTCTGATATTTACCCCTGAACAGGGTTATATATACCCCCAGTATCATGTACAAAATGCCTATTTCACACACTGCCCTGATATATACCCATGAACATGACAATATATACCTACAGTATGTACACAAGTTTATATCTCACATACTGTCCCGAAATATACTCCATGCATAGGGCAATACATACAACCTTGTGTACATACTGTGTGCTATGTATTGCCCTTTGCATTGGGTATATATCAGGGCAGTGTGAGAAATATAACCTTGTGTACATCCCTGGGGGTATATATCAGTCTTATCTATAAGTAATACACTCTTCAAATCTGCTTTAAAATGTATGGTTCTCCCTTTTACAAACAATAAAATAAAGACGTTATGCTGTGGGGCTAATTTTTATTCCCAGGTTGTCACCGACAGCACTAGTGTTTGCAGTGTATATAATTTATGCAGTGGATGTAGTGTTTGTGTGTAGTGGATGTAGTGTGTAGTGGATGCAGTGTTTGTGAACTGGATGCAGTGTTTGTATAGTGAATTCAGAGTGTGTGTTTCTATAATGGATGCAGTGTGTTTGTGTTGTGAATGCAGAATGTGTGCCTTTGTAGTGGATGTAGTCTGTAAAGTTGCAGTTTCTATAGTCTAAAGTGGCAGTGTATATAAAGCTAGGTGGCAGTGTGTATAGTGTAAAGTGGCAGTGTATATAAAGCTAGGTGGCAGTGTGTATAGTGTAAAGTGGCAGTGTATATAAAGCTAGGTGGCAGTGTGTATAGTGTAAAGTGGCAGTGTATATAAAGCTAGGTGGCAGTGTGTATAGTGTAAAGTGGCAGTGTATATAAAGCTAGGTGGCAGTGTGTATAGTGTAAAGTGGCAGCGTATATAAAGCTAGGTGGCAGTGTGTATAGTGTAAAGTGGCAGTGTGTATAGTGTAAAGTGGCAGTGTATATAAAGCTAGGTGGCAGTGTGTATAGTGTAAAGTGGCAGTGTATATAAAGCTAGGTGGCAGTGTGTATAGTGTAAAGTGGCAGCGTATATAAAGCTAGGTGGCAGTGTGTATAGTGTATAGTGGCAGTGTGTATAGTGTAAAGTGGCAGTGTATATAAAGCTAGGTGGCAGTGTGTATAGTGTAAAGTGGCAGTGTATATAAAGCTGGGTGGCAGTGTGTATAGTGTAAAGTGGCAGTGTATATAAAGCTAGGTGGCAGTGTGTATAGTGTAAAGTGGCAGCGTATATAAAGCTAGGTGGCAGTGTGTATAGTCTAAAGTGGCAATGTATATAAAGCTAGGTGGCAGTGTGTATAAAGCTAGGTGGCAGTGTGTATAGTCTAAAGTGGCAGTGTATATAAAGCTAGGTGGCAGTGTGTATAGTGTAAAGTGGCAGTGTATATAAAGCTAGGTGGCAGTGTGTATAGTCTAAAGTGGCAGTGTATATAAAGCTAGGTGGCAGTGTGTATAGTGTAAAGTGGCAGTGTATATAAAGCTAGGTGGCAGTGTGTATAGTGTAAAGTGGCAGTGTATATAAAGCTAGGTGGCAGTGTGTATAGTGTAAAGTGGCAGTGTATATAAAGCTAGGTGGCAGTGTGTATAGTGTAAAGTGGCAGTGTATATAAAGCTAGGTGGCAGTGTGTATAGTGTAAAGTGGCAGCGTATATAAAGCTAGGTGGCAGTGTGTATAGTGTATAGTGGCAGTGTGTATAGTGTAAAGTGGCAGTGTATATAAAGCTAGGTGGCAGTGTGTATAGTGTAAAGTGGCAGTGTATATAAAGCTGGGTGGCAGTGTGTATAGTGTAAAGTGGCAGTGTATATAAAGCTAGGTGGCAGTGTGTATAGTGTAAAGTGGCAGCGTATATAAAGCTAGGTGGCAGTGTGTATAGTCTAAAGTGGCAATGTATATAAAGCTAGGTGGCAGTGTGTATAGTGTAAAGTGGCAGTGTATATAAAGCTAGGTGGCAGTGTGTATAGTGTAAAGTGGCAGTGTATATAAAGCTAGGGGGTAATGTGAAGTGAGATGTGCCAGTGTGTATAGTGCATGAAGGTAACTGGTGAGATGTCGGGATAAAATGAGAGGAAGCATTTTAATATAGCATGTAGTGAGAGGGGGCCCAGCCAGCACCTTCTTGTCTTTCCAGCTACTTCTCATTGCAACTCTCGCAAGACCGGCCTGACGGCCGCAGGGTTCAAAAGGATTGGAGTGACAAGCAGCTGGAAAAATAAAATGGTGCTGGCTGGGACCCTTCTGCATTATACAGGATGGGACCCTTCTGCATCATACAGAATTCTGCATTATACAGTCCCTTTTTAGGGTTCTAGTCAAAGTACATTTGCAACGGCCATACGTATTGATTCTTTTAACATCATTGAGAGGCCAACACCCCGCCACAACGTCTCGGTGGCCACGTTTACCCTTGAGCCAAATCATAGACAGAGCCTTTCTCTGCCACTTGGCAATTAGCAGGGCCTCATCTGTCATGGGGAAGACTAATTCTTCGCCTAACGGCACTATGTCAGCCAGCCAGTTCTATATGTTGGCATTCGTTTGTATGGGTCATTGATTTTTATTTTGTCACCATTTAGAATGTCTCAAGCTTCTGAACATCAAGATGACCTGTCTCTTTCTGAAACCTCAGCTAGGCCCTGCACTCCCACATGTCCCAGTTCCCCTGCTGAGTCACTCACCCCTGCTACCCCCAGGTCCCTGAGGTAGTTCAGCGGCTACCTAAACTAGCTGTTGAGCTACGCAGAAGGTATCCACCTATCCACTCAGTCCATTGGCTCCAGACCCAGTACGAGTTCACAAGGGGGAGATTTGGCATGGGGGAAGTGGGTAGGATGTCTATAGTGATCACCTCCATTCAAGCCGTTAACGATTGGTTAACAGTGCTGGAAACGACTCACCCTATTCTCCATGCCTCCAGAGCTAGTCCGGCAGAGGTTACTGTACCCATGGTAGCAGTCACGCAGAGTAGCTCGATCACCATTTCTCCCCTTCCCTCTATGTCTCACATTGTCACACCTGCACATTTCATCCCCACCTCCATCAGGAAAGATATTATTTGAGGGGAGGGGATTGTAGAGAACAGGACTTATATATACGGGAATTTGTCAGTACCACTTAAAGCCAGGGACCACAGACTAAATAAGAAACTCTCAATTGAGTTTGTACTCGCCTTTAGGTTCTACAAGGACATGTACCCCTAGAGACAAGAGGAACTGGATCTATACCTACACAAGTTGGTGGATTTAGGGCACAAGTATGGGGCTTTTTTTGACTATCACAAGACAGTGTCGGCCAAAGCCGCCGCAGCTCTTGCCCAGTTTAATATTCAAACCAACTGGAGTTACTTGAACACAGAGCTGTTCTGCAGGCATTTCACTGGCTTGAAGCCCCTGATTGTGCGGTTTGTTCATCCTCCTCTCAAACCTCCAACTTGGGCCCCTGCAAAGCTGAACCATCCACATCCACAACCCCTGCACATAGCACTCTCAGTTCCTCCATTGGTCAAGATCGGGCTCAGATGGATAAGTTGGGCAGACACATTGTATTCTTGGGGAAAGCACAGGTGTGCAACAATTTTAATGCTGGGACCTGCACTTACAGTGCATGTCAATTGTTGCTTTGTTGCACATCTGCTCAACATGTTTTAGGGCACATGCAAAATCTATGTGCCCCTCCAAGCTCTTTCCCAAGATATGACTTACGGAGGTTAATCTAGACAATCTCGGATATCATTTGCATTCCCACCCTTCACCCCAGTTGGTGGAATTCTTGGTTTCTGGTTTTTCCATAAGTTTTCACACAGGTCTCTTGGCACTTCCCTCAGGCACACTGGAAGGCCCCAATTTGTCATTAGCCTATTCTGATCCCTTAACAGTAGATACACTACTGGACAAAGAAGTCCATCTAGGTTTTGTATTAAGCCCATTCTCTCATCCACCTTTTCAGTCATGCCGCACAAATCCCATCAGTGTTGTGTCTCAGAAATTTTCAAATAAAAAAAAGGCTTATCATTGATCTTTTGGCTCCTCATTCTTCACACACACCAAGCATAAACTCTCTCATCCCTGCTGAAGAATTCTCCCTCCATTACACTAGGATAAAAGGAAATGTACACAAAGTGGAAAAAAGAACAAGTGAGCAGCTCAAATACACCTAATACGTGGTATCCCCTACACCACTATAGATACATCTAAATACATACAAAACTGTAGGCGGAGCCGCATAGATCCTTGAATAATCTGTAAGACAAAATTAAATATGCACAAAATTGCGTAGTATGTCAAAAACATTTGGCCGAAAAACATTTGGAACAGATTGTGCCCTGGCAAGAATGAATATTTGGAACGCACGTGCGTTCCATCCGGAGCCAGTATGGAAGTTGACGCCAGCCCGCACGAATACACATTTGGAACGCATGTGCGTTCCATCCGGGTGTAACCCGGAAGTTGACGTCAGTGCCGGAGATGCTGGACGTAGCTGGAACGTTGCGTGACCGCCTAATTGGAGGAGGAGGTCCGGCGGGACATTTAAAAGAAGGGAAAGAAGACCAGACATTTATATCCAACTGAGGAAGCCTAATTAATAGGCGAAATGCGTTTTGGACTTTTTCATCAACTGGACACTTTTATTGGACTTTTATCTTAAAGGACTTTTATTGACTTTTACTTTTAACCAGCTGTTTCTGGTATATGGAATATATTTTTACTATAATAAAACCATTTGATATAAAGGACCATTTGGAAATTCAACAGCTTTATTGGGAACATCTATTAGAAGGAACATAAGGGGGAACATCAAGAATCCGGCTACAAAAGGGTCTGGACAACCCCTCAATGGTCCAAAGAAGCATACATTTAGAGTCATATGATGGTATGACTCTGGTCTTGTGAGTGGAACTACTATTCTTTCTTCTTACTTTACACCATTGTATAGACATACTACGCAATTTTGTGTATATTTAATTTTGTCTTACAGATTATTCAAGGTTCTATGCGGCTCCGCCTATTGTTTTGTATGTATTTAGATCCCTCCATTACACCACTGTCGACAACGCCATACAGGCCATTTTACACATGGGTAGACACGTTCGACTTAGCAAAACTGACATCTCTAACGCTTTCAAGCTATTACCAATTTACCAGTCCCTATAGCACATTAACGGTGTTAAGTGGAGGGACAATTATTACCTTTACGCTAGACTTACTGTTGGTTCCAGGAGCAGTCCAAAAATGTTTGATATCTTCGCAGAAACACTCTGTTGGAGTCTCCTTAATGTCATGCGATGTTCCACGGTGATTCACTACCTCAACGACTTTCTCCTGGTAAAAAACTGGTACACAGACACCTCAAAGTATTTTCAGCACTACTAATTTTTTCACCACATTAGGTATCCCTATTTCACCTTATAACACTCTTGGCCACTCCACTAGATTGGTGTTCCTGGTCATCACCTTGGACACGGTCGCTTTTCAGGCAAGCCTCCCAGATGAGAATCTGGTACGCGTCAGAGAGGAGATGGACCATTTCTTGTTGGCTGGCTTATATACTCATAGGGAGCTTCAGTCTTTACTGTGATCACTTAGATTGCCATGCGAATCAGCCCGCATGGAAGGGTGTTCATTTCCAGACTTCTTTGTGTCCTACCCGGCTTATCTGATGATGCGATCGTTCTCCTCGACCCCCCTGCCATAGCTGATTTACGCATGTGGCAAAATTTTCTCTTTTTTGGAATTATATTTCTTTGTTTATTCTACCTCTTTCACAGTTATCACCCCTTATCATGTCTGATACAGCAGCCCATTCAGGGTTTGCCGCTATTTTTGGAAATCTTTGGTTCAGAGACTCTTGGCCTAATAAGACCCTCTCTTTGACAGCCTTCAGGGAGACCTCTGCCCTGTTCAAAATCTAACGCATAATGGCAGCAGCGCACACTTGGGATCATATTTGGACAGGGGAGGCTATTAAATGTCTCTGTGACAACGTTGCAACATGCGAAAACATCAACAAAGGGCACTCAGCGTCCTTGACCATTATGAGGTGTTTTTTTTAGCTTCACCCCACAGCAGACAGACTCCTGTCCAGAACCCCACTATTCCAAGAGCTTATGATGTACTAGCCAGTCTTCTGTCACGTTTTGCACTCTCTGATAACACATAGGCAGCTTATGATAGGGCTCTAAAAGTTTATCATAGGTTTGCCATGGAATTCCACATCCAGGAGTATTTCTCCATAGAATCCATGGTAGCTTTTTCTTCTTTTTGCCACCTTCACCTTAAATTAGCACACAACACGATCAATCTTTATCTCTCGGGGATTCAACATCACATAATCACACACCTTTTCTCACATCCTATACAATTAAAAGCATATTACGGGGTATTAATAAAAGAGATAGACCCCCTTCTTCATCTAGGTTACTGATTGATGGTTCGGTATTCCGAGTCCTCTCTGATTTACTGGAAACACGACCATTCCAATTTCCGGAAATCAAGTAATTAAAACTGCTATTTATTTAGCATTCAACAGTTTTTTGAAACCATGAGAGTTTACAGTAGCTAGACAGACAGTCATCATCTGTAGCTCAAAAATATCAGATCTCGCTAAACATCACGATCACTATATACTTTCTCTACAAAACTCTAAAACGACCAAACTACTCATCCATCTGCCATACCACTTTATCCCACCGAGAACAAGTGGTGCCCAGTTAAAATACTCAACTATTACTTAACCACACTTAGTCATGTCACACACAATTCACCACTACTCTCACTGCAAGGAATCCCTCTGACTACTGCTAAATTCATATTCTACATCAGAACACTACTCCTAAGATTGGGTTGCAACCTGGCATCATTTTTGGGTCATTCATTCATTTAGAATAGGGGCAGCTTTCGCCACTTCCAGCACTGACACTCCAGTGCATATCATTAAAAGTTTGGGCAGATGAAAAATTCTCGGTGTACAATGGTTCCCGAGAAAGAAATGAGGAAAGCTTTTAAAAATTTGGCATTGTAAATTTGATGCAATAAAATGTGTTCTTCTTTGATACCTTTTTGCCCTCTTTTATTACAGGTCTAACCGTACGTTGGTTACGGCACATCCCAACCAACTTCGCATTAACCCGATTTACATATATTACTAATATGTTTCCGACCACAAATATATATATGGCCAGGCTTCTTATTCATCATTCATTGGTCCAGTGCCTTATCAACAAGAAGTAAATGAGGGAATAAATATTGGACAGCAGTAGAGCTATCTCTAAACTGAATAATTTGTCTTCCCTCTGAATAAATAATAACATACGTAGACAAAGGATTATAAATCCTTTCACAATTCCCCTTAACAATGTGCATTCCTCTCCTTTACTTTTTCAATGTGAACACCTGCATGACTGTAGCCCAAATGTCAAATATACCATTATGTTAGAGCAGGTGTATGTAACCTTCGGCACTCCAGATATTGTGGACTACATCTCCCATAATTCCCTTACAGTCATAATGCTGGCAAAGCATCAGAGGAGAAGTAGTTCACAATATCTGCAGTGCCAAAGGTTACCAACTGCTGTTTTAGAGGTTGGCATTCCCCATGAACCTTTAAGATTTAAACCACAAACAGAAAATATACTTCTGAGTATAGTTGATTGTGATGTGTTGAGTTCCAGCTCCTATAAGAGTTAGTGATAAAGCATTCACATATATGTTACGTATCAATCATTGTAAAAAATAACAGAAAACACTGACTTCAGTATCATTACATTGTACTGTATTATAACCTTGCATACATCATGTGATACATAGTCAACACTACACTGCAAATGGGGCGCCCCTTTCATGAGCGCATTGTGAGCGAATTAGTGCAATGCAGCCTTTTGTACAGTGCGTCTATGTTCAATGTCCTTATCTTCAAAGTACAATAAATCCTATTTAACAGATGAACAGAAAAAAAATAAACATATTTAACAGACATTATTATCATTAAGTCAAGATCAGAGAACCACATCTCTCCATAGAGCTACAACCACTTAAGAACAGGTAGAAGGTTTCTGCAGGGTCCCCCAGAAAGCAGTTGGATTATACAAATCACATAAATGTGGTCAATGTCCCGCGAGAAATGCATAAAATTCCAAACAGACAGTTGGAAAGTAGCCATGTAGAATAAAGCCAAATTTGGTTTTTCTAGACCAAAACATGGACATTCACTGTGGACTTCAAAAGTTCCGAGTTCATTGAAAAAAGTGAAAAGCCAACATGACTCGTTTTAAAAAGTAATAGACTATCTTCTAATAATTAAGACTTGATGGAGATTAACACTTGACAACCCAAAAAGTCCATAGTGTTCAATATATCTCAATAAACATCACCGTAATTTGACAGAGAAAAGGACCAGAGAATCAACCGTCACTCTTTTTTTAACGCATCGCGTGTCTTTCATCCAAAAACAGAGATATACACGGAATATAGGTACACATCAAACAAATACAAGGTGCAGTTTTTGCATAGTTGTTTTGCCTCCGATAATTCCATATAAAGGATGGGGACCTGGGTAGTGGTATTCTTTTCAGTCCTACATTTTATTAAATACGCCAGGGCCAACAATTCAGATCTCATCAGTGGTCCAACTCACCGATCCAATTACACTATCAAATAGATTGGCTCAACTGGTCAAATTGTTAGATAGCTGGCTATCTATAGCTGTGTTTACAACTATTGTCATCAGGTTTGTTTTAACCTAAAACAAAATGCGAGTTGTGCTATACTTTTGCTTGCAAAATGTAGCCCACAATAGTTGTACTGAGTTTGTCTTTTAAACTCTTATTTTGAACTAGATTTTGCAAATCACCTGCCAACTTCACAACACACGCATCCGTTTATTTAAAAAAAAAGAAACATTTTATAACATTTTCGGCCCAGCTTTCATGAAATTGTTGAGTATTATGTCATGAATATTAAGAGATGAATTAATACTTAATAGAAACATTCCATGAAAGATCCAGTTACAAATTTTCTGATGCACATAAATCACTTTATCTTTTTTCTTAATTGTATAAAAAAACGTAAAAAATTACTTCTTCTGACTGTCGGGATTCCAAACAGTAGGTTAACGGTCTACCAGAATAAATTATCCAGGAGACCAGACACCTAGAAAATAACTTGTAAGTGTGTTGGGGGGGAATATACATTTAATAATAGACCATCAATGTGCTTCATTTCCTTGTAGGCTGCATTTTTTATTTTTATAACTATGTCCAATTAAACATTAATGTCCGATCATTCTATTAAATTTGATGATAATGTGTCGGTGCCACTAAATCAATATCCATATTTATAGCAGTGAGATAACTTATAAATAAAACTACAACAAAAGTCAAATGGATTAGGTCATTAGATGGTGGAACCACTTCCAGTGTGAACTGTGATCAACAGATAATATTGTCTATTTACAGTTACAAATTGAGTCATCTAGACATTAGAACAAATCATTGAATGGCTGGGCTTTCAGTTTCCTTAAACTAATGTTGGTCATGTGGAACTCTAGACCATTTTTTAGGATCTCTTCCCATGTATATTTTACTAAAATAATGGGATGTTGGATTATAACAGGTGTGCCAGACTGGCTTTACATCATAGAAACCTCTAGTCCAGTGATGGCTTTGCTGGACAATCCAAATGTCTGTGAACAAACTTTTTCCACACCTGTTCATGAACATAACATTGTTTGTATAACTTCCTGTTAGTTGAACTCCTAGAGCTCCAATTAGGCTGACTGAATAGCATGTGAAATGTAGTTTACAGACATCCAGATGATCAAAGGTGGCCAACACTTCCTTAAATATGCACACACTGAAGAATAAACTGAGTTTAGGCATGGCTTCTACTGGAATTGTATAGAGCAATGGTTCCCAAACTCGAACGCATGGCCCACCAACAATCCACGATTGATGTATTTGCAGTTTTATTCCAGTGGAGATACTGACAAAATTTGGACTGGTGGTGGGTCTTGAGTTGTCTCTTTTGAAGTTGATCAGCTAAACAGATCAAGGCAGGGATTGTGATTGTGGTGGTTCTAAAATACTACTACTGTTGGTGACTCTAAAAAGATCAGGAAAACTTTTGAGCTAAATTATGGTCATGATGGGAACAGTGGAAATGGATATCTAAAGCTGGGATCTATTTATGTATATTCAAATTGGAGAGATGCCACAAGGTGGGAATATTTAGCTCATAGGGGTTATTCATTAATTGAAAATTGTAGAGAATTGACAAAGGAATTGTAAAATTTAGACTAAAACTGCAACGTTATAAACAGAACAGAGTTAGAGAATTTTCCCAATTTATTTAAAGGGTCACTCTAAGTAACTTCAGAACAAAAAATCTTGCCACAGCTCTAACCAAGCCTCTAAAAGCTGCTAAACAGAAAGCCAAAATGGTTAAATATCGAACATTGATTTTGTCCAATTTTGTTTTTGTTTTACTTCATAGTCTACAGAATACAGTAAAAAAATAAAAATAATAATAATAAAGTGGTTATTGTTTTTCCAATGGTTTCCATTTAAGCTGGTCTAAATTTTATAAATTCCCCACAATTCCCAATTTATCAAAGAAACACTGTAAGGTCTTCTAATATGGGACTTTTCTTAACAAATATTGTACGGTGATTTATACTTACTTAAAGGATCACTATAGTGTCAGGAAAACAAAACCGTTTTCCTGACACTATATAATCCTTGGGGGACCCTCACCCTCATGGTCCCCGTCCTGTGGTGCTGATGGGGTTAAAACCCCTTCAGCAGCTTACCTTAATCCGGAGCTGGTGACCTCTCCTACACCACCAACGTTAGCTCCAGAGTGGAGCAGAATGCACATGTGCGGCAAGTGCCACATTGCTCAATGCTTTCCTATGGACGCTCTGCACGCTGGATGCAAATTTTGCATCCAGCGTCACAGAAGCGCCTCTAGCGGCTGTCAGGAAGACAGCCACTAGAGGTTGGATTAACCCTGCTATGTAAACATAGCAGTTTCTCTGAAACTTCTATGTTTACATGTGAAGGGTTAAAACCTGAGGGACATTGCATCCATACCACTTCATTGAGCTGAAGTGGTCTGGGTGACTATAGTGTTCCTTTAACGCCAAATGGTAGTGAAATAAAAGGCAAATTATTATATTTAGGCTAAGCTAGCTTGAGATTTTTATTTCCCCAAATCAACTATAGTTGCCCACATTTTGCTGTGTTTTTCCTGAATATAGCTCCCCAGCTAAACCATCACTGAAGTTAAAGTTATACTCCAAGCACGATAAACACTACAGACCGCCACAATCATATGCAATGCTCTACTGGGAAATGCAAAAGTAGAAGTGCACACTTCTGCATTAGCACACCAAATCTAACCACCAATCAGTGGCTGTGACTTTTGGCACCATAACCACTACAACATTATGTACTGGTCATGGTGCTTAGAGTATTTTTTTTTAATAGAGACTCAGTGAAAGGTAGACATTCTTATTAAATAGTGAAATATTGAGATCTCACCCTTTTCATGGGTTTCTCAGGTTTTTTGCATAGCTATATTATTTGGCTTGGTGAAGAGACCCCTCCTGTCACAGACTAATCAATCTGGGTTTAAAGTAATGATGAAATTAAGTTATACATGATGATATACAATATGTCATTTTAAAGGAATTTGCACCTTAAGCGGTATTCATGAACCATATGTATGTCTTCTGTTGATACAATCATGACCTGAGACTTGGCATCACCAAATAATGGACAAATGTAGTGAATAATATACTTTTTTTGTATGCATTTCTGTAATGACGCAAAAAAAAAAAAAAAATTACCAAAGGAGGAGCTTAACACTTCTTCAAGAACAAGCACTGGAGAGTTTTTATGAGGTCATAGTTTTGCAATAACTGAGAGAGAGATGACATGATTTGCATGAAAACGTGTCCAATCTTGGTATCCCAAAAAATGATATGCAATATGTAGAGTAACAATGACAACCGTTTGTGACTGAGATATGCTCAGCAAGCAACTGTTAGTAGTAAATACAACTGTCACCCTCAAAACAATTACTTTAATATAATACTCCTTGCACCTTGGAGTAGACAGTGTTTGAAACTGACAATTAGTTGCATGTATATGGCTGAAGGATCTTGACATATACTAAAAGTATAATACGGATGGGTTTTTCGATTTTTATTTTTTTTTTACATGTACTTCATTTACAAAAATCTATTTCTTTTCATAACTCGATGAAAGGATTTTATTATATTTAAAAAATTGTATTGAGGTGACATTTGTCCTTTTATTAGTTAACTATACATTTTATTCATTTTAAAATATTAAATCAAAATGTTCTATATAAAGCAGAGTCACCATTTTCCTCTTATAGTGGGAGTTGTATATTAAGAACTATAATGAGAAATCCCCGTGGGAACCAGTAAAATGCTGTTGCTGATTTAGTACCTTTCACTAAAACCTCACCTGAGATATAGCCGCCCTTCGTGCCCCTCCCCCCCTCCTCCCCCAACACCACCATTATTTAGCACATCTGCCCTAATCACATTACATTAGTATACCCCCAGAAAGGTATTCTCTACTGCCTGCAGCCTGGCAACATCTCCAATGGAATACAAATCCATTTTTGTTTTCAGTTGGGTATCTATTAACTTACAAATTGGAAAAAGTTGCACACAATGTTTTGAATCCAGTTTTAGCAATTAGGAGACTCTCCTGAATAACTCAGTGGTTTGGCTCTTCTTCACACACCTCTCTTGTAATAAAAATTTCATTTTGATATTGGGATTTAATATTGCTTGGAGAGAGCATTCTTTTTTTTTTAGATGAAAGTCTTAAAGGAACGCTAATGAATGAATACAACATATATTGCATATTTAATGTATTGAATGCTTCTAATCATTACAGCCAAACTCTATGATTCCAGTAGACAATGTAGGTTGGATTCTGTAATTTCCACCTTTCCTAAAGCCTTTGTTAAACTTGCACAACAGGAGGTATAAGTTGTTTTACTTATAACAAAGAAATATTTTTTTTCTGAATATTACACTCTTCAAAGGTAAATTATGATCTTTAAAGTTAAATTGTCATAAAAAATAGTTGATTGTTTTTAGAATATTCTAATAAGTGTTACTTTATTGCATTCTTATAGTCACAGCCAAGTAGCGCAAGTAATATTTGGTTTTATGACACTAATTAAACCTCCTTCTTCTGCTTTGAGCTGTTATGAGCTGTTATGTTCCCTGAGTATTCTACAGTCCGCTGTTCGGAACACTGGCACATCCTGATAAACCCTGCTTAAAAAAGCTGAAACCAATGTCTTTAACATAAATCTCTCACCATGTTTTATAAAAATAAATGAAAATTATAAAAGGATCATTATATTGAATCTATAATGAAAATGTTGACTTACGTGAAATTTCACAAATATACATTGAATACACCATATATCACAAAGATATATAGTGTACTCAATGTAAAATATATAAATTTACTCACTTTCTCTCCATTCCAGCTTTGCTTGGTAGGTGTTACTCTTCATGTAACACCCACCTCCAGCCTTCCTTCGCTCCGCATGGACTCTTCTTTGATTTAGGCCGCTTGAGGTATCCTTAGCGGCGTCGGCATGCTGGCTTCATTTGCAGCGCGCCGGAGTCGGAACAGAGTGACGTTATTTCACTCCGTTAGTATACCCCCTAGCCAGTGCTAGAGCGAAGGCTAGGGAGTTTCCATAGCAACCACAGTGCATGTGCTGTGGTTGCTATGGGTGGAGAGCAGAGGGACCTCCTGTGGACGCCGAGATAGAGAGCTGGGAGAAAACATGCTATTAAATAGGTTTTTCTTCTAAACTATACATTTGTTAGCAAAGCTCTGAGCACATTGTATAGATAGAATATTATGCTCAATCTAATGAGCAGATGTTGTTTGGGGCATGACAGGTCCCCTCTCATTTTGTGTTTTAATAATGCCATTAAGAAAGGATGGAGGAGGGAATATAACCTTGATATCATTTAAATTAAATATCGATGGAAATACAACTTTGCATGTTCTACAACATATCCAAGGCATGTTTTCATTATAGTTTGCCTAAATGTATTATATGTTGGGTTTTTGTAAGTATTTAATTAATTTCCTTTTAAAGTGTCACATTACAATAAAAGGCAGCAGACTGGCACCATGACTTCAGCAAAGGAGAAAAGTCATTAGTCTACATTCTCATTGGAATCATAGAACCTAATAGAGAGTCAGAACAGAGTTTACAACCTTAATTTGCAAATGGACATTTGTTTCAGTAATTCATTAAAGTTCCTTTAAAACATTAAACCTCCCACTTACCAAAAAGAATAATAACAGAGACCAGTTGTGCTATAAATATGATGTAATGAAGACATGAGATGACGCCATTTTGTGATGCATGTCATGAATACAAGCCGCTTCCTGTTTTTGCTGTCTGCTTGTTTACTAAATATTGGCTCACATAATAAATGGGCAAATAGAAAGAAAAACCTCAAAATGAAATATCCAAAATATTTTGTAAAAAAAGTACAAAATTAAATGGCACAAAGCAGTAAACTATTAGACATTAAACTCACGCTACGGACGCTTCTTGGACCCTTAATTTGTGGTGTGTTATAGTTACGTGAGAGGGACAATACAGTGACCATCGAATCCTTTGTTTTATGGAAGGGACCCATAGCCCTGAGATTCTTACATGGACATTGAATCATCACAATGTTTTGGGTCTATTTCAATAATTTATCAAAATAATAGAGTCATTTGTTTTCAAAGCACATGCAAGATTCTTGCTCGTTTCTCTTTGTTATAGCATTGATAACTGAAATTTTTTTCAGCAATATAAAGTGTCTAGAAGATACTTAAAAAGAAAAAAAAAAAGTAATAAATAAATAACACGCATGACCATTCTTTGTAAAATGACATCTTTCCAGCACATAGGAGAGCCTCCATTGTCAAATTTAAATCATAGTCACATGGTCTCTGTTTAGTATATTCATTGGTTCTATTCCCACACGGCTCTCAAAGGTTTAAAAGCTGATCCACATTTATTGTGTGGTGTGCGTAGATTCTGTTACAGCCAGAGTTACACCTGGCAAAATATGGAGGTTAGAAAGATGATAAATTCCATTACATTTTTTTTTTTTTTTTACCCATGTGCCACAAAATGCATATTCATTTATTCCAACCTTCTAATATTTTCTACCCTGTTTAAATCAGAGTGAACCATGCTGCCGTTTTAAATATCTCAGTGGTCTTTCACTATATGTTCACCAGTGTATCTTCCATAAACGTTTTAACGGCCATGAATTTCTCCCACTCATGTACTTCTTCTCTGCTGCTGTTAGGCTATATTCCATACTTTTTTTTGGCAGTCATTTATGGCACAGTAATTTTCATCAATGTAGTCTACAGAATTCTAATAATTTGAGAGTCTGTATAAGGCACATGTCTCAATAACGTGTTTAAGAAAAAGAAACAACTATTCTCTCAGTTGGTTTGGATGGAAGGCGATTTTCTAGCAGTTGATAGTCTACAACGCCGGACATGCTACGATGATGTTAGGAGTCGCACTCCACCAAAAGCTAGAAAGACAAAGCTTGCCCCACCACCCCTGAATTAAATAAGCAAAACATATTTTCAGACAGGACAATATTTAACCCCTTCTGTGCTGGAGGGGAAGGCAATTTGCTGAATTGCACACCCCTCCAGCACAGAAGGGGTTAAAGGTTACTGCTCGGGCAGAGTACAGACAAACTCTGGGCTCTGCATTGGAAGTAAAATGTCCATATTCTTCACAACTCTGCAGCCCAGAGTTTGGCCATGCCACGACAGAGCAATGATCTTTAAATTTGCCCTTTTAGTTTCTCTCTTCAAGTAGAGCTTTGTTCTCATGTTCCTCATCTTTGGTTTCGGTGGGTATGGAGCCATTCTCCATCACAGAGTGGTGAATGAAGTCGGACAGAGTCGCCGTGTCAGAATTGGAAATGTTGTCAGCCTCGTCTTCTTTCTTTTCTTCGTCAACAGAATACTTACGGAAGTTCTCGTAGATCTTCCGTACATCCTCTGGAAGGTTCTTTTTCAAGTCCCTGTTTTTCCTTTTTGTAAGCTTAGATGAATTTGACCCAAACTTGTTGATAATGTTATCTTCTGAAAGCCCCTGTCCATGTAAATTAAACTGCTCTACCCCTTTAAGTCTGAGATTGTTGGGCCTGTTGTTTATACTTTCTTGAGATGAGGCCTTGAAGCGTCCTGTCTCCAGTTCAGAAAATACAGAGCGCTTTTCGGGGGATAGCATGTCTAACGAGTGGGCCCTCTGGTCTAGGCCAAGCCTCCTGCGTTCCATGCTCCTGATGGTGGCTGCTCTCTGAAGCTTGTCGTGGATTTCAACACTGAGCCGCCTCCGCGTCTCTCTGAATTCTGCTTGTACATTGGCTTTCCACTCTGCCGCATGAGCTTTAATTTCTCCAACCTAAACAATGAGAATATCATTGGTCAAAATACATTCATTGATTAATGGAAATAAACTGCACTTATTAATGCTAAATTATTCACACTTCTTACATCCTGATGGATCTTTTTTTACAATACATTGCTTTATGTTTCATTAAATAATGTATAAGACATCATAAAAAACCACCACACTCCCAAAGTACGGCATATAACCAAGTATAAAGTAAGAAACCGTGGTACACTGACTTGTTAAATTGGAATTATGTAATAAATCTTATCAGTAGATTGTAAATGTCCTCCAAGATTCTGAAACACTGTTAGAAATAATTGGGTTCACAGAATTATAGTCAAAGCATAGAGTCAAGCACAAAATAAATCACTCTATGGCACAAAAATCGATGTGACCTTTAATCCCAATGTCAAACAAGTGGACTTGACAAAATGTCTTTTTACCCATAGGCGCACATGCAGTCTTTGATCGTAAAGACATTCAGGACAGTGAGAATTATTGGAATTCCATGTGATTTTCAAAGACAATAAATTTTAGATTTGTTTATCTTGACATAAAATTAGAATTCCCAATAATTCTTATTTTCATGAATAAGCTTAATATAGTTTTATTTTTGCAACATTTAATTATTTGTTTTATAATTCTGGGCACAATTATGTTTCATGTACTCAAATGTTTTTAAAATACCTGTGTGCACTTATACAGAAGCAAAAGTCTGCATGACCAGAGTTTGCACAGGTGAACACAACATGCTCTACTATTTTGTAATTGAGGATGATATTAAGCTCACCTTTACAGGATTATTCGCTAAAAAGTGGGTTGTTGGCAATTAAAATTTAAAGCGAGATTTCAGTTTCAAAAAAAAAAAAAAACAGACTGAAAACAGCAAACTTTAAAGGACCACTATAGTGCCAGGAAAACATACTTGTTTTCCTGGCACTATAGTGCCCTGAGGGTGCCCCCACCTCCCCGTCGGCTGGCTGCGCGCGCATTCAGACGGTCGCATAGGAAAGCATTTACAATGCTTTCCTATGGACGCTGGCGTGCTCTCACTGTGAAAATCACAGTGAGAAGCACGCAAGCGCCTCTAGTGGCTGTCAATGAGACAGCCACTAGAGGATTTGGAGGAAGGCTTAACCCATTCATAAACATAGCAGTTTCTATGAAACTGCTATGTTTATAAAAGAATGGGTTAACCCTAGCTGGACATGGCACCCAGACCACTTCATTAAGCTGAAGTAGTCTGGGTGCCTAGAGTGGTCCTTTAAGGATTGTTTTCAGTTCAGCTGCTGAAATCACCCCTGGTAGTAGTCATCAATTACTGAAAGCTGCTCTGCTGTCCGTGGTCCTGAATCATATAACTAACAATCTAAGAATTAGGTGTACTGCATATGGAACAGGTCTACAACGGTTACCCAGATTCTGTAAAGTAATTAAATATCTAACTATCAGTGCACTTCATTAATGCACACACACACACAGATATATTATATACACGCACATATACATACACATTCTGGCCTCCCAACCGTCCTGATTTTTTTTTCAGGACAGTCCTGTCCCACTGTCCTGACTTTGATCCCAGGGGACACCAGGGAACTGTCTACGAAAAGCATAGCGTCAGCGCATCATTAAATTTGCTCACACTTTGCTCAGGGGCACTAGGACCCGGCAGAGAGCTATGAAACAGCGCTCGCTGCATGGTCTGCACTTTGTGGGCTGGCCTGCTTGATTGGCAGACACCTTTGCATGCATGCTTGCCCTGCTGAACTGCCAATTCCTAGGGCAGACCCTCTTTGGGCAACACCAGTCTCATGATGATGATGGATAGATAGATAGAGCTATTTATGCATTTTCACCGATCTAACACTAAAAATACAATGTACTCTGCACTTTTAAAATGTGACTGTGTTAGAGATTAGTTAAGTAATTATTTTTCTACTTTTTAGCATTCCCACCTTCATTTACCATTTTGATAGCATTGACGCAAATACAAAATATACAAGGCACTCAAAAGTCGTGTTACAGTACCTATATTTTACCAGTTTAGAGCGATGTTTTAACTCCCACTATTCTTTCTCAAGATTCCCACATATGTAAAACCTCAAGCTTTATTAGTACAAGACTGCATGTGACAGAAAGTGAGTTAGAAACCAATGCCAGATTCCATAAGCACAAAAATAAGAAAATAAAATCCTCTTAACTTATTACAAAATAAAATGTGAAATACTGAGTCTTATGTATAAAATAAAAGGTACATAGCCAAGAGGCAGAAAAAAAACCATTGCAACGAATACTTATGTCGTTCATGACGGGTTTGTAATTCACTTCCTGTCACATGACTCTTTGTACCTAAATTGTGAAGAGTTTACTTATGACTTGAGAAAGAAACATTGGAGATGAAATGGGTGGAATAAAGGAACTCTAACACTGTCAGGATACTATCCTGACAACCAGGAACATGTTTCCTTTTCTTCTGTTAATATTTCATGCAACACCTGTTTCTCGCCTCTAGTGGCCTCGCTAGCCACTAGTCTCCTCTATCACCTTATCATCCTCACCTGCCTGGACTAATGAAGAGGCTTCATAAGGCTACAACCTGCTCACAACAGGGCCTTTACAGTGAAGTTGGTGATTTACCTGAATCAATTCAGTTCCTGGCTCCTGTGAACCTGCTCCAAACTTACCCTCAAACCTGCTCCACTCTTACGTATGATTTTGACCTCTGCCTCTGTAACCAGCCTGCCTCTGTAACCAGCCTGCCTTTGATACCAACCCTACCTGGAAATTACAGATATTCTTTATTATTTCCAAGTAACCTGTTCTGTGGCAAGTATCCTGTTTTGTGGCATATTATCTAAATTCTGTTTTACCTCAAGTTCCATAATATGTCTAAAATCACTAATAAAGTACCTGAAGTCAACCCTGGCATAAGTCTCCTATCTGACCTGCACAGGATCATGACAAACACACTCCTTGAATGTCTGGTCAATTCTGTATGCTGTTGGTTTGAGGCGTTGCTCTGGACCATACAGCACTGAGTGAGTGCCATTTTGTTTTGTATATTAGTTTCAGTACAAATATGTAAATACGGATATTGCTATGACTTTGACCACAGCTAATTTTTAGCTTTTTCTTTTTTTTTTTAAATCAATTTATTTTAGTGTATTTTTGTGGTCATAACACAGAAAAATGTATTTTTGTAAAGAATCTATGTGCGCAAAAGCTGAATAATTTTCACACAAGCTT